AAAATCGAACTTGACAATTGCGAGCCAAATGGGAAGCGCAGGTGAGCGTTTTTGGTGTACTTCTGATTTGAAAGCGGTGTTATCAGGAGGCCCGAAAGGTATCGTTGTGACAACTAATATCACGTTCTGCTTGCGAATTTTTTGCTACAATAAGGAAATGCTTGAAAAAGCTTGAAAGCTGGACTGTCCTTGTTGTTTCGCTCAGTCCTCGTTTATCATTGCTTCTGCTCGCCTGGCACAAGGCACGTTGGTCGCATTAAGAGGCACCTAGTTCAGAAGATTCGCGAACACATCCCAGTGTAGTTATACGAAAGCGAAATGGGAACCTACAGCTCTCTTACGTCTCAGGTCCTTGATTATGACCTTACAGTCGCTGAGCTTGACTTCAAAGGCATCTACTCATTTCTTGAACTTTTTTGGATGCTTGCGTAAGCAGCTCTAGTCTGTTAAGGATATTATATATATGGTTGGCGGCGTCTGGTTTCGGATTTGGCTGTCACTGTGGCCAGCCACAGGACGCCTACACCTACAGAGGGACCATGGGTGGCTTGCGCTGCACCACCCACAGCTCCAACCACACACCCCATATCCAGTGTAAACCAGAAGGAAGAAGACCGGGAGGCATGTGGATGGGAGCCACGTTTCATCAACGGATCCAGCCCACACTCCTTCACAGGCAAACACAAGCACGCTGTATTTGGGGAATCAAACGTACACAAGACGGTAGCTGGACCGTAGTCCGCTCCACGCTGAGTGCATGGAACCACTTTTCGCGCTTAGCACGGCCATAAGGACAGTGCACCCTGTCCACTCCAGCAACGACCAACTGTCTCCTGGAGCCAGTATGGACGAGGTAGTGGGTAATCGATAGGTAGGCACCTTGTCAACATGCACATCAAGCGCAGCCACACCGGAGATAGCAAGCAACAGCCAATTACTTGAAACGACATGATGAAATGAAATAAATCCAATAACGCATATATATATATATATATATATATATATATATATATATATATATATATAACAACTGCGTACGCAGTTTACAAGTGCAATGAAAACTCACTAACCCCCATTTCCGGTGTTCCTCAAAGCGCCATTTTCTTTCCACGTCTATTTTCTTCTTAAGTTACCTTGCTCCTCCTCCCTGAAGATGTCGTCTTACTAATTATGCGGACAGCGTAATCCTCGGCGCCCATCATCCAAGCATAATATTGGCCAAACTACAATCAATCCTGAAAATCCTCCCGGCTTGCTCTAAATCCAATTGCCAACCGTTAAACATCTCAAAATACTAGGTTATTCTATTTTCACTGTTCAAAGAAAATCGGTACCATCAAATCGTAACGCAGTGCCCGTGTTTTGCATAAACAGTAAATGTTCAACCTCTTTCACTCCAGTAAAATACCCGGGATTGACACTAAGCTGCGGACTTACGTGGTCCCTTTACATGAACAAAATATTCACTACGTTTAGGAGACTCTCATTCTATGTTACATGTCTCTGATCCTCTTGCGTACCTCGTTGTTTGATCCAGCGTTTTGTCACTGCGTGTGTGTTACCCTATTGGACCTATTGCTCTCCCGTGAACTTTCCTAGCTTCCTGAGCAAGGAACTCTAAGCATATATTCCGGTGTGGTGGCATTACAAAACGGGACTTGTTAAGATCATTGTATCTAGCCATACCCACTCCTGTAATAAGCTTGCATCTAAACTACTCACTGATGTCAGCCACCTTTTCCATAAGGCGTTGTCCGAATGTGTATCAACTTCCTCGACCAGAAACTTATATACGCGCGCACTAGGACCTGTAGTACATCAATAGTCTATTGTTTGTCAAGTTTTTTGAGCGCTAAAATCATCAAAACTGATTAATAAATTAATTCAGTCAACTGTTTTTCAACGATTGTGGTTTTATCTCTACCACTGTGTACTATACCATTTCAATATTTTCCCTGTTCGTGGCATGTATGTCAGAGCAGAATGCTCACCCTTCATATGTGCATGTAGCACATTCTTTACTTGAATGCTACAATTCAACTTGAACAAATACAATGTGCTCTCCATACGACCCCACAGTACATACCGTATAGTTCCGAATATAATCCCGTCCATAGAAAAGCTGATTTAATAACTGCCATATCGAATTTGTCCAAAGTCTTAACTCCCTTTGTTAGCCTACCCCTAAAATGCCAACAAAAGTGAAAGGAAATTGTTTCTCCACGGTTTTGAGGTCATCACGACTTACTCTCACTGAGTGAGTTCTAGTAAAATCTGATCTTTTATGGGCCAGTTGTGGTGACTATAATGGGTTATGAGCACAGTTAGTAGACAGTATACTGACCAGATATCAAGTCACATGAAACTGGTAAGACAACCAACAACATAGGGTAAGGTGGGAGGCACCGGATCGCCTGGCACAACATAATGTTTAAGGGTTTTTGATTCGTTACTACCATCCGTCGCAAACGTCAAATGTGCAATATACCGAGAATTTTCGACACAACTTAACATGTCCAGTTATAGGCACTTCAAACCCCCGTCTAGAATACCGTCCGTCACTAGCGGATGGTGCTGAAGGGAAATAAGGACAATAGTGGTCAGGGAATTCCTGGGTAGATTTTGCATGTGACATTTTCAACTTCCGTCAGTGGTCAATAGTATATTGCGGATAAAAAAAAGCTGGAGCTTGACATCTCCCGTCGGATGATCGGTTAGAGGTGAGCGAAATAAAGTCAAAAAGAGCAATAGGATATAGTGAACAACTGCAAACAGCGAATTTGCCGATTCCAGCGTTTCCGTCCGTTTTATATACTATCCAAGCTTATCGTCTTTGGTTCCCGGGCATTAATGGAAGTGGGTTGATTTGTTTTGTTTTTCTGCTATTTGTAAGGGTCGTTTGGATTACGTGATATGGTGTAGTATGGTCAGTGCACTATCGACACGTGCTTTGAACACGGTTAAAGTGGGGGCTGAAATAACAGCTTCTGAGAGGTTATTACACGTGTAGCAAACGCGTAGCGAGATGAAGTTTCTTTGACGCTCCAACCGACTGTATTATTCTGCCAGTTTGAGATGATGACCTCCCATTGGGTTGTCGTATAGCCTTTTTGTAAGCTGACTCCCTACACAGAAATGAAAAATTGTCCAAAATTTCTCGGCTTATATTCGGTAATATATGGTACTCGTACTGGCTAGAAGCGCAGACTTTGCAGCGATCTTCGTTGGAATGCTACCTAGGCGTGCTGCTTCGTGATGACTTGGGTTGTTCACGGCAATCCGAAAAGGCGTCGGAAAGTGACAACCAACACGTCAGTCTGTTGCGGTGGGCTTTCAGACAAACACGGATCTCTATGTTCCGACAAATGCGCAGTACGTATGCTCGCCTTCAAGTCGAATACGCAATTCAAGCCTGGCATCCATGGTTGAAACACGGCCTCATTGTACTGCAGCAGCTTTAATTTCAGGCTTCCAAATACATCATTGGAGTTCGCAATCTACTATGCGAGCAAAGCCATAAGCGTTTTGGAGTATTCAACAGACGGTATCACCGATTCCGAGGCGACCTGATAATAGCATCCTTGATTCTGCGAATTCCTGAATCATGTGTGCCGCTCAGTAGTCCAACTCGGCAGTAACAAAACAGAGAGTTCACTCATTCTGGTGTGCAATAGAAATTTCTTTTCTATTTGTGTGGGTCATCCGTTGAATGCTCTCCTCGAATCGGTCGTTTCTGTATTCACGCTAGTCATACTTAAACTACAGTTGTATGATGCACTCAGCCACTTACGTTTCTTTACTTTGCACTATCACTTCGTCCTACTCCTTGAAAATAGGTTGCATTTATTAGCTGTTGCATATTGGAGTTGAGACACTACAGGGAGTGCAGAACTGCTACATTACACACGATTAATCCTTGCTGTTGATATTAAAAATGCCGGCTGCTTTTTTCCTAAACTTTTTCTTCGAAACCTCACCGTACTATCCAACGGGGCTTGTAAAGCGGTGCTTCTTAACCCACAGTAAGGCATTGGTCATTGTTCAGTCATACGGCAGATGCTACTACCATGGCCAACGGACATTATTACGTATGATTGTTACCTGAGCTAGACATTTCGGATCGTTGAAATCTAGTGCACTTAGTTTCGCTTGACTCACCATATTTGGCCCATTTTTAATGTATCGACTCGGCTGTTCAAACAGTGTAGACATCAGTCTCCGGTCCGAGTTGACACTTGCAGCATTTAACCTCTGCCTTGTAAACCTTTGGGTCCAATAAGCTTTTATCAACAAAGCGTTTTGCAATCAGTACCCACTGCTGGTTTTAACATTTGTAGCATTATAGTAGGTACTTAGACGACTAGGACTCGGTAACTATGCGGCTCGAACTGCCGGTTGCACTCGGATGCATTTAGTAGAACCAACCATCGGTCTTGTTAGCACCATACACTTCCTTCTTCCAAAATAACAGTAATACCAATAAGAAGAGTTGCCACTCTCGCTCATATTGAGATGCGCAGGAGAACAACTGATGTAGGAGCTGTGAATAGTCTGTGACCTCATGGTAGAAGCAATACTGCTAAACAGTCCGTAATGGTATTCGAACTGGTTGCGTAGATTTGAATTGCGAGCGGAAGCGCTCTGTTACGATGTCAATCACTTCAGCAATTTCATCCAAGGAATTTGACAAAAACAAACAAAAAGGAGAGAATATATATATATATATATATATATATATCTATACATATATATATATATATAATTTAATAAACTAAAAAGCAACGTGCCGCAAATGCAGTAAATAAAAGAAACGAATTACTATGTTATTGTAAGTGTAAGTAAAGCTCGATGAGTTGTTGCTTTATTAGTCTCAGGACTAAGAAGCGAAGTATTAGGTTGAACTACATGCGATCCGGTATTAATGTATTAACACCACTATGAACTTTCTACTGAATTATCCTTGGCTATAGATTTCTCATATTAAATTTGGAACCTCACAGATGCTGTTGTGCGTACTGCGTACTACAAATACTTTCACCCGAAAGAAGCCTTGATCCCCGACGGCGTTTTGAATAGGTAAGATGAGAATTTTAAAGTGTTTCCCCCCTTATAGGTCTGTAGCAGAAGCATCTGGCAAGTGGTCACCCGGAGGTGCGTCCGAAGGAATACCACACAGACTGGCAATGCAATTTGTGTACCCTTATGGGGCTACACTTAACGTGGCGAAACCTTCTGCTGCTTTACTTTCCACCGGTAACGTCGCTCTTCCCCTTAATCGTCCAGTGTGTGCTGTCTACAAATCCAAAGTGAGTTTTGGCAAGCGCAGTAGCTTTTTCACATTTTTCTTCACAGGAACCAAACGGGGGAGCTCTCGCTGTTGTTGGTAGCTGTGCAATGTTCACCGACAGTTATGTGAGCAAGGAAGACAACTTCAAGATTTTTGAATTTCTGATAAATATTTTAACAACTGATTGTATCAAACTTAATTCAATCGACGCTGAAGATCCCGATATTGAGCCATACCATCAAGTCCCGGACATAACTACCTTGGCCAACAGTCTCAAATGCTGTTTACAAGAGAGTGACGAAGTTCCACAAAGCGTCTGCGAGATGTTTGACAGCGGTCTTTTTAATATGGATCTGAATGCAGTGCCGAAAGCTTTAAGGTGGCTGATTTAAGTATGAGCAGTAATTTTCTAGGAAATAAATTGCCTGTGAAGTTGATGAGTATCAAAAAGTCTGCAGTGCTTCTGCCAATCACAGCTGTTGTATTGCTTACTATAATATGCAACTTGCAAAGCACATTACGCATTCTCCCGACAAATAGGGGCAAAATACCAGCGTTGCTCCTGCGTGTGATGTTTAGGCAAGTGATCCATTTAAATGCGCTAGGTTATGTCAATTGGAATGGAACGACTTAGTAATACTCTCTGTTGACAGACGCGTACTACCGGTGCTCATCTTTTCAAGGATCTACTTCTCTGTAAATTAAGAAGGGGCAGCCGACGTTCACTCTTCTGAGTCGGATTCACTAGGTTTATTCACTGACCCATTGTAGCGAACGAGCTAACACTACAAAGCACTTATTGTCAGAACTCAGTCGGTTAAGACATAAGCAGTCACTGACCCTCGGTAGGCTTCCGACTTCAAGTAATCCCAAAACAAGCAGTAAGATCATGTGGATAGCGTAGCGCGATCAGGGCGGTAGTTTTTAGCCGTTTGGACGAAGACACCAGCACGCAGCGAACATCACGAACACACAAACAGTAGGCCGGAGCAACAACGCGGAACCGAATTCAAAGAACAGTTTGTCCATTAAGTTGACTAAAACCAACTGTACAATAAGTGGTGCGATTAATAATAAGGAAGTTAAGTTGAAACGATTAAATGTAAAGCGCTACACCCCCATACGTAACACTTTTTTACTATTCACGATTCCAACAACACCAGAGGCTTTAAAGTGCTCTCCTGCCTAACGAGCGTGCACAACTTTATCGCTTTTAGGTCGATTCTTTATCTGTGGGACAACGTTTCACACAAATACCTTAGCACGCTCCAAGGTTAATGAGTGATCTCATCCTCGATCCCACATGTGCTGACACAGCTGTCCAAGTAATTGAAGTTTTGGACGAATTCTAGGTGATCTCCACCAGGGGTCAACGCGCTGGCAGTCCCTGCCCATTTTGATGGGACTTTGCATTTGGAGGGTGCATTGCGGAGCCTGAAACCGTTGACAGCCAGTGCCGATTTGTCCATTTCTGATTGCCACCTTTGTGCAGTGTCACAAATCAAGGCAATACCGTCAGAACACCCTTAGTCATTAAGTCGATCACATATGAGCAGGTCCACACCTTCTAAGTCGTGTCCGGTGAACGTGATTTCCATGACTACGTCAATAGCGAAGTTGAAGAGGAAAGGTGACAGCGGGAAAACTCGTCACACACTGTTGGAGATACTGAAGTGTGGTGACATTTTGCTATAAGCCCTCACTCTGCCAGAATTAAGTGTGCAAAGAGATCAGATAATATTAACGGGTTTCTCGGGCACGGTCCCAAGGGGCACATCGATCCACCAAATGGAAGAAAGCTTTTATGTCGAGGAACAGGGAAACGATAGGCCGCGAATCTGATTGACAGTTCTCCATTAGCTGTGACAAAGTGAGTGTGCGATCAATACAGTCTTGATTTCGAAGAAATCCGACTTGATGTTCACGAGTCAGGCATACACGGGTGCCAGTCAGCCTATGAATAAAACCAGAGGTAAGTAACTTTTAGGCGATGGTGACCAGGCTGATACATCTATGCTTGCCGCATTCCGAACGTGAACCTCCCTTAATAATTTGGACTATTGCACAGCAACTCCGGTCGGTTAAGACAGTTCCCTAATAAATCGCGCAAGGGCTTCTGGAAAGTATGGGACCTATATGACGGATAAGAACTAATGGCAAACACCAATGTGCTCCAGGAATTCATTTTGAAGTAGTTTTGATAGAGCAGATGTTGAATAATGCATTTTTACTTTTGCTTTTCCTCACCTCCTGCTTACCATTTGTTTTCTCTCGCAGAGCTTACGAAAAACTCCGAGTAAAGCATGAACCTCTCAGTCTTATTCCACCCCAGTTCGAAACACCATTGCCTCCGGTTCAGCCTTCAGTGAGTCGTCAACAATGTTTTTACTTCGTACTTCATAAATAGGGTACTTTATATATGTTCCAATAGAGAGGTTGGTAAACACTCAGTACCTTCCACACATAATCCTTTGATGGATCTTTTTAATTGAGCCTCACTTCAAATCTGCTGAGTTGCCGAACTGCCGTTCAGATCCTTAAGACAAGCAGCATGGCCTCGCTTATATGAATTATTCCACACACGGATAATAGACTCTATCAATTCTCTTTTATCTCCACCGCAATACTTCATGATGACTCGGTGTTTCAATGTTGTTTAGAACCGACTGCTTACCGCAAGTAGGTCCTTTCCTACAGCACAAGTGTTTGCCCTTAAGGAACTCCTACCCACTTAGTGGGTAGTTTGTGGGACTAGGAGCTCAGTTTTGTGTTCAGCATTTGTGGCGTACACAGTGCTTAGCTTCAGGACGCAGTCTGTTGTGGTACAAAAATCATCTTCGCCAAATTTTATGTAAATTGCGATTATTAAGTGGTATATAGCTCAAGCCTGTGAGCTGCGAGCTGTTGCTTACCTTTGACCTCCATACTCAACGCGAAACACGAGTAGGCCGTTTCGACTTTCCTTCACGCATTCCGTCGCAACCGCGGTTAAAATCAATTTCCCCAAGCGGTATGCGCATCGGCGCACCTTATTAACCCATACTTCAATTCAGCTTCATTGAGTCTCCAACTAGACGGCGCAAAATGTGGGGCTAAGGGGCTCCAAACTTTGAACTACTAATAATAATTAACAGTAATATATATATATTCCCCATGCTGCGAAAAACTGTAGCGGCGCAGATGAATTTGTACAGGCTCTTGCATAGGTGGGACAATGGGGTGTGCGTTTTATGTAGTTACGTTCTAGTGGATGCTTGAGGTAAATGCCTAGTTTTGAACACATTGGTGGTTAGATGTTTTTGTGCCCCTCTTGGGATAGCTCATTGAGGGACTTCTCCCATGTAAATATGGTCATTATGGTACATTGATCAAGGTAGTTGAAGAACTTGTTTCTAAATGTTGTCACCTTACTACACGACCTGAGTGTGGTTGGTTGGTTATTCCACAGCTATATCTAGCGAGGAGGAGATTGGAGCGAATATTCGTTCTAGCCTTTGGTATCTGCAGACTAAAATCTTTCTTGCGAAGCCCTAGAGTTGTGCTGTGGTATAGTTCTATTGTACCCAGATCCGAATAGGCCCTTTGTGTAAGAGGTAGAAAAGCAGCAACAAATAATGCTTCAGTCACCGTATCCAATGTGATTCGAGTTGCAGTTCGTTGCAGCGCTCTTGATGCTCCATCGCAGAGTGCGTACCAAACAGTTTAGTAAACAATCTCTGCAAGTGCTCCACAGCAATTCGGTTACCTTTTCTCATCTTACCATATTTTTTATCGCAGTTTCGGAGGATGAGCTGGGTGAGTAGCTTAAAAAGGTCAACTCTAGCATGGGTTGTGACTCTTTTTGTGTGTATTGTACACAGATTGTCTGCACGTGCTACTTGGTATTGGACCTGTTCGGGGTAATGAAGGTGGATGAGTACCTAATGCCGAAATCACGCGTGCACAGCTGTATAGGGAATGTTCATTGATTAGTGCGATATATACTTCAGGGACGAAACCGCTGTAAGTTGTGATGCTTGATTACATAGCTGAGAGGTTCGGCGTGCACGTATGGCCACATGACTCCAGGGAATGCAAGTCATCTTGGATGAACAGTAGCGTTCCGTGAAGCTCGGCAAGCCGAAGCTTATGGACGATCATGAAATTGTTAGCAAATAAAATTGGCCTCAGGACTGTGATTAGCTGTGTTGTATTTCCCCTTACTTTGGTACACATTATCCAGATAACAAAAACAACCATTTTGTATGAGAGTGGTGGATGTTGTAAGAAGATAACAAATAAAATATCTAGTTGCGTCCATAGTTTCCTCAACTCGCTGCATCAGTTTGGTGTATAGTTAACATAAACTTGATTAGTTTTTCAAAAATGGTGGCGGGTTGCCACTGCGTCGTTTCTTGTGTCTACGTGGTAGTTGACTCTTACCTGCTGCAAACATCTTTGGTATGAAATATTTTAATTGCTTACTACCTACACACTGTGAACACCTTTTTCACGAATGGAGTAGATGAGCGTTTAAACCTCAGAATAAGCAGTACGGCTCATTCAGGCTCTTCCCTTTGCTTGATCCCGTTTTATTTAGGTATTTCCACCCAATTTTCGCGAGCCCGGTCCACCTCCACTTGAATTGTTTGACTTGGAAGAGCAGTTTTCCACTCCCAAGGCGCGCTTGGCCCAGTTGGCCAATAAATGTGAGCTACGGCTTTTGACAAAAAGCGTACTTATTGAAAACTGTATGTTTAACGAAGAGATGGGTCACACTGATTAATTCCTCCGTATTACTTGAACTGTGTGTGGGTATTCAAAAGTGAAAGCAGTGCTCGGTTTTTGAACAAACCCCTCCTTCTCTGTAGGTTGTCATCAGTTTTTCAGTTAGTAGGAGGCCAGTGAATTTTTCGAAAGAAATATCGAAGCAGCATTGCGTGCTGCTTAGTGGTGTCTACTTTAGTACTGAGCTTCGAGAGAATGTTGTCGCTGTTACCTTGTCAGCGGAACAAAGTATAGTGAATCAACGTGCTCAAACTCAGTTTCCCATGCTTCCCTTGAGCAACTTTTATGGAAGAAATGAAATACATTCATTGGAGGACATTGTTCGTCTACTATTCAGCAAGTGAATGTGAAAATGAAGTGTTGTGTACTAGCTGTAATTTTAGGGAGGTTTTGCACATTTTTGTTCGTCACTTTCTGCCAGCTAGTTGTTGAGTACAGTCACAAAGTGTGCATGGGAATTACTACTACACTAAACCGCTACCCACTGTCGGAAGGAATTGTAAGCGTCCACATCATCCACCGGCTGTATTAATCTATCACGAAGCGGTTCAACATGCAGTTGTCGGATTTTCACGTCAGATCGGTGTAATGAAGTGGGGAGTCATGGCTAATTTACTGAGAAGTACGATCTGACGTGTTATGGTGAGTAGCGTTCAGAAACTCCAATAGGCTGCCATTAACCAGAATACATTGATGAAAATACGGCTGAACTGCCACTTCATATTTATCAACTGTAGTGGAACTCTGCTCTGTGTGTTTTATGTTTGCCGATTCCTCGACGTCATACAGGTAACGAGGACGACCTGGAATATTTTGTTCGTGAGTGTGGTGATGTTTTGGCGGTCACTCGCAAACTCCCTGAAGCAAAGCGTAACGCACGAGTCATTTTGGAGGTCATTTTCACGGAACTGGCTGAATTCAAGAAAATGAATCAAGTAAGCTGAGATTTTTACCTTAGTAGATCTGTGCATGGCAACGTGACTGGTCAGATGTGAGCACTGTTACGTGAGAGCGCTGAGTTTGATTCATCTTGGTAGGTCTGACTAAGTCATGTTTAACTTGATAGCTTGCGCCCTCACGAATGTTTCTTTCAGTTGTTTGGTTTTGCTTTCTGATAGTGATGAGGCGCATACTTCGAGTAAGGGATAATTCTGGTAAGCACACTGTGTTTTCCGGTATCCTTACTTTATATACTATTACATGAGTGAGCGATCGCCAGTAGCCGATTCTACCTGGTCTGAATACTTGCGGAGAGCTACACAACAAGATACACATGACTGATGATGCAACGTTACTCGAGTTCAGCTACCGATGGCTGCCATACACGGTACTGAGCGTGGGCCAGTCCTGGAGCCATTTTGGTTTGCGTCCATATAACTTCGGCTTCCATCCATTCAATGTGGTTGAAACACTAGTCATCTGTGAACTCTTTGTTTAGTGTATGCAAGACTTTTTCCTCTTCTAAGACAGATACACCAGTTGAACCCGATCAAACAACCTCATTCTTCTCTCTTGTTTTGTGAAGGAGGACTAGGGTCTTGTGCTTCGCTTACCAGTTATATTTTCTGCATACTGACCTGAGCTGTTGGTTTGTTGCAAGTGCCACTGATAGCCGATCTTAAATGACAGGTGTGACAAGTGCACGGAAGACTAAAGAACTACACAGCTTCCATAGTGAATCATCGGCGGTACCGAGCAGTTGCGAGAGAGTCAAATAGGGATGCGCCTCGTTAAGCAGTCAGCAAACGGAGGCAGCTGTACCCACGGACGTCGCGCATTTTTGGATCACCGCGTTTTGGATACTACTTTAGCTTCGGATTTCTGTGTTATCAGTATTTTTCTGTGTGAATTGGGCCTCAATATTCTTCTTTTGGCGTATTTTCCAATCTTTGCAAATTTGATGACTATGCCTTTGCTAATTCCGGAGATGTCATTGATTTGCCCTACTGCCATCTCCGTCCGCCATCTTGGATTTGCTCTACTTTGTGATGCCGCTTCAAGCTACTTGTCGTCCGTGTGCGAAAGTTGGGGAAAATAAGACTCATACACTTCGGTTCTTCGGCTGCGATGTTTTCTCCCATATTTCGTGCATTGGCTTATCCGTTGGCTTGTTTCAAAAATCTCTCGACATCCGACCTCGGTTTTTTCAAGTTATATGTGAGAAATGTCGCGGCGCAAGACATCAGAATACACAGCGACCGCCAACAACTACGAGAAAACCTCTCTTCCAGACAGAAACAAACCATTCACCACGTGGGTCAAACGCCCTCGTGAAAGTACCTCTGTCGCCTCGCCTTCTCTTGTCACTCCGCCATCTGCACCACCACCAACGTCTTCGACCCTGGCCGAGCCTCAGGTTCAATATTCCCCACCAATGGAAGACTCAAACTCGGAAGCTACGAAATGCTGCTTCCCTGCTCGGTTCGTGCATTTCTCAGAGCTTGTCTGTGAACTTCTGAGCACCGAGGATCCATGTATCACTCAAAAGCGCAAGGGGCCACGTAATCGAGTTCAGGCGTCCCAATCAGATAAGCGCTTCTCGTTCTGCTCCCACAGGTTCATCACCGATTTCGCTGAGGCGTCCTAATGTTATGGTCTTCCACGTACCAACGTCAAAAGATGAAAACCCTCAGATCCGTTATGATCACGATGTTAAGTTCCTCCAGCGGCTTATCGATAGACTCTTGGATGTGGGTGAAGACAGTGTAACCATTAAACAGGTAGTCCGACTTGACCAAAAAACTAACCAGTCATGTAGACCTCTGGCAATCACCTTTGCAAATCATAATATGCCGCAGCTCATACTGTCTTGTCTGTCAAGGCTGAAAGGCATCAACTTCACATCCGCCGAGACTTGGAACCCGAAGACAGGGGTCGTTTGAAGACCGCGGTCATTGAGCTCAAACGTCGTACAGAGGAAGGTGAGACTGACTTACAAGTTGTAAATTTTCGGGTAATCAAGGATGGTGTACAAACCTGTATCAACCGGTTGTTTAACCTCCAGGCACGTCCCGCAGTACCACACAGGACCTCCAGGTGGAATTCGCCAACGTGTGCAGCCTAATGAACAAATGTGACGAACTGTGCCGCTTCACTGTCTAGGAATGGTCGGACGTTTTAGGACTTTCAGAAACTTGGCTGAACTCCGACGTCATACCCCAAGAAGTCGCGTTGTCAGGATACTCTTGTTTTCGATGCGACCGAAAATCAAAGGCTCACGGTGGTCTTCTGTTGTACGTAAAAGCGTCACCATCTGGCAAACTTACCAACACCTATAGGAGCGAGGATAGTTTATGCGAGCAATTGTGGTGCTCAGTTCGCCTCACGCGCGCAGAACTAATAGTGGGTGTTATCTACCGTAACCCATGTACAGAAGCACATGAGCCGCCCTGAGTTCTCACTGAAGGGGGATCTGATTTTACCTAAGATATTTTGGCCATACGTTCGACTTCTTCCCGATCATGGCAACGTTGAGGCGCATGTCGCTAAAATGACTATTGAAATCGGGGCAACGCAACAGGTCATCCAACCGACTCGCTTAACTCCGCACTCGGCATCTTGTCTGGACCTAATGTTTACGAGCTGCGAGCAGAAACTGATCGAGATCAGAGTCATCGAATCTCTGGCGAACAGTGACCTGCTCCATTGTGGCAAGCATTGAACTGTCCTTATCGTATTACAACCAACGGAAACCGACGTTCAACTATTGGAAGACGGATTTCAATGGGCTCGTCCAAGCCTCAAGTCAAACTGATTGGTCACTACCACAGGATGCGTCGCTTGAGGCTTGCTGGTCATTAATGATGGTGAAGCTTAACTCGCTCTGTACTCGGTTCGTTCCCCTGAAGTATTCAAAAATCGGACATGTCAAACCGCATTGGTTTGATACGGAATATAGACAACTAGCGCGACGGCTTCGTAAACTTTGGAATAGTTACATCAGCTCGGGTTGTGATGAAGATTACACGGTGTACAAGAAACAGCGTAACTTACGGAACGCCGCAAAGATCAAACTCGCCGGCAGTTCGAAGAGGAGCTAGCATCCTTGGCCACAACTGCACCTAAAAGAATATTTGCCTACTTGAAACCTCAACTGATACCTGGGGTCGACCTACCGGTTTTAGAGAGCTTAGACGAAAAGACGCTCATTTCAAGCGCGGAGAGCGCGGTTGCCTTGGCTACACACTTCCTCACCGTATTTTCCAGTAAACCGGCGGCTATTCCGGTACCAGCGCAGGTTGCGCCAGTCTTGATCGACAGCCTACAATGTGATGCAATCGAAGTGTATCAGCTACTCGTCAACATCGATGGTGCAAAACCTCCCGTACCAAACGGACTTCACCCACTAATACTCAAGTCCCTAGCGATTGTCCTCTCGCCAGCCGTGACAAACCTGTGCAATAAATCACTGTCTGAAGGATGTGTCCCCAACAACTGGAAATGCTCGATAGTGAGACCGTTTCCTAAGGGTGATCCGAGTAAAATAGAGAATCACAGATCGATCTGTTTGATCTAGATATTATCCAATTCTCGAGAAGGTTGTGAAAAGTATCTGCTGTTGTTCTTCGAATCGATGGACGTATTGACGCCAACGCAACACGTCTTTACGAAAGGGTGATCCTGCATTACCAACTTGATGTACGCAAACCACCAGAGGGTACGAGCTCTCAATTAACAGAAGGATGTTGACGTGGTGTACATCGACTTTAGTAAGGCGTTTGACAGAGTGAACCACGAGGTACTCCTTCGTAAACTGATGACATACGGAATCGGTAGCACACTACTTCAGTGGTTACACGAGTTTATTGTGGGACGAAAGTTTAAAGTGCAGGTCAATGACTACCTGATAGACTGGTTCCCATCGATCAGTGGCGTGCCTCAAGGAACTGTACTTGGGCCAGTATTATTTCTTATTCGTATCAACGATCTTCCGCAGCAGCTCTAGTCACCATGTGCCATGTTGAAGATGATTTGAAAATCTGGAGGGTCATTGAGAATCAGCACGACTGCGCTCGCCTCCAGCATGACTTAGAGCGACTGTCAACATGGTCCACTGAAATGTAACTCCCTCTTAACGCAAGCAAGTCGGAGTTCATCAGTATCACCAGACATCCAGCCACTCGATCATACACCTTGGACGGCCAGTTGGTCCACCCTTACCCATCTGTCAGAGACTTAGGAGTTCTCTCGCGACATGGTATAAGATCACTAGAAAATACAGAGAAATTGCACCGTACGGGACTTCGTATGCTCTGGGCGTTAAGACGCAGTTTCTTTATAGGGTCCGAAGAAAAGGTCCCTCTTCTTATTCACCTCGCTTGAATACGGTGACCCAGCTTACAATCCGATAACTCAGTAGGAAACTGAAAGGTGACGAAAATACAGCATATCGCAACTAGAATGATACCGAGTCTACAAAAGCTTTCGTATAAAAACGTTGTGAAAGGCTCGGACTCTACACACTATCCTACCGCCGAGTAAGAATTGAGTTTATTATGACTCATAGAGTACTACACTTGAATAACTTCCCCATACTGCGGCCAATATTTCACCTGCGGGAACCCTGTAACACCCGAGGACACCGTTACAAACTCACGATCCCCTGTATGAACAAAGTATCACATCAGCTTTATATGGAACGAAGAATCGTAAACGTATAGAATACACTACCAGAAGGATTAATAAAGGCCGATTCTGTGAAAGGTTTTAAAACGCGTATCGACGATTATTTCGGAAAACTGTGCTTTTGTGAAACGATGCACATACAGTGCCAAAAGAAGACATTGTATGTCCGGAAATAATGACATAAAAGAGAATTCATAAGCGAACAGGGATAAACGATTAACTGACCAAGCACAACCGCTGACGATTCACAACTATATGTTTTGATTTTTCATAATTCGATAAAGTTGTACATAAACCTTTCTACTTGCTG